GCGTTACACGAATCTTCCGAAAAATCTTATACCTACGGTATTTTCTTTTTTTTTTTTTTTTTAAATTATTATAACATATATCAATTATATTTATTCGTACTTTTAGCTAAACCTTTTGTAACATTAATTAAACTTTACGCAAAAAGGCGTGTTAAAGGGGTGAGTCAAAAAAGTTCGCGAGTGATTTTAAAAATCAATTACTCTTCCTTAAGACTTTTTAGGCAACCTACTCTTCTTTTTCTTTTTTTTCTCTATATTTTTTTTTCTATTCCGTTCAGATTTTTAAACTACAAAGCGTGGAAACTTTTTTGCAATGCGAATAAAAAGAAAGAAAGAAAAATTCAAAAAAAAGAAAATTAGTGTAAGAAGAGTCTCGAAAGGGAGTAATTGATTTTTAAAGTCTGGTAAAAACTTTTGGCCCACTTATAAACTTCTGGCTCACCTTGTTTGATTTGATGGGAATTATGAATTTTGTGTCTTTTCTTTTTTATAATATGTCAGGAAATACACATACGTACATATACATATACACATATACGCAAGATAACGATTCCAAAAACGAATTGTATATTAGATAAGAAAACTTTAACGTTGTAAGGGACACATAACAATAATAATATAATGTCACATGTGCAGAGTAACGAATTCTCCATTTTCTATTTTTCGTTGAACTGAATGTACCGACATACTTACATCGAAAACTGATTTATCGAATAAAATGTCGGTACGTGGCTGGAAATCACAAACGAGTCGGGTTCTCTTTTAAGTCTCGAATGAAAGAAAATCCACGCTCGATATACTTCTTTCTACTTCGAGCTTAACCTGTTTGCGATGTATCGACGAGTTTTCATAAAGTCTCTCTCTCTCTCTCCCTCTCTTTCTCATTTCCTCTCTTTCGTCCATTTTCTTTCTCTCAAGTTCGATTCGCCAAGATGCACGACAGCAAAGAAGATAAAAGAAAGGAAAAAAAGCAAAAAAAAAAAAAAATGAAAAAGAAAAATATCGAGAGGACACTTTCTTCATAAAAGATTCTCTTCCTTTTATTTTATTTTTATTGTTCTTGATCTTTTTTTTTCCTTTTCTCTCTCTCTCTCTCTCTCTCTTTTTTTTTTCCTTTCTTTATCATTTCCTGCATAGCATCCCTTTTTGTCAGTGCTAATGGGGGTATCGTAGACATAATGCGCTCTTGCAACCGAAGCACTTGATGCGCTACGATAAATTAGAGTTTTCAAAGTAATCTCTTCAGTGTGAACACTTAAATGGGGTTTTCGTGTAACGAAGCGATACCACGATGAGGAAAAGAAGAAGAACCAGTTGTACATATGACTCCCTTTTTTTCTTTTTTATTCTCTCCCTCTTTCGCCCCCACCACCACCCCACCCACCACCTTTCTCTCTCTCTCTCTCTCTCTCTTTCTCTCTTTTCTCTTTAACTTTACTCTCAAAAGTACTTTTCCTATCTTTTCCTTTTTTTCCTTCCGACTCTCTAGCATGTCCAATGTCATTATGGTTTTTGGAATTAAGAGCTCCCTTGGAGGCGATTTCGTTTTGCATTTTCTTCTATCCTTTAGGTCTCTCTCCTACACACTCACACATACACACAGAGACTCATATTCAAAATGTTAAATTGTACTTTTATATCAAATTCATGATTTTTCTTTTTTCTCTTTATTCTAATTATCTTTATTATTGTCTATGCAAAAATTTTAGAATTATTTTTATTTTTTTCACTTAAATAATTTCCAATCGTATAAACCAATTAAATGAAATTAACTAGGGGTATAACTTATTGTATAAACATGTGAAATATTTTCTATTATATATTGTTTCGTATTTAATTTATACAAAAGTTTTAATATAATAATAATTCTTTCTGAATAATTCCAATAAATTATGATCGTATAAAGAAAATTGTTTGTAAATAAATAATGAAATAAGCCTAGACACGCGATCTAATAGCTGATTAAAACATTGTAATGTAAAGTCACGGATAATAATGCATTCAGTGAATAATAGTAGTTCATTGACGATGAGAATGCAAGCATGATACATATAGATGAGTAGAAGTCATCGTTGCAACCTGTTACACGAAACCCAGGCAAATGTGCTAATTATTCTTACCCGGAAGGTTGTGGCACGCATCACGTGAGTATAATTTCGTAACTTGTAACCCCTTTTCTATTTCAAAGAGAAAAAGAGAGAAAGAGAGAGAGAGAGAGAGAGAGAGGGGAAAAGGAATTAAAGAATAGAGTGGAGAAATAAAAAATAGTAGGTCGTGTTATTGGGAAAAAGATAGGAAGAAGGAGTAGGAGGATAAGGAGGAGAGGGGATGGTAACTATGGTAACCGTGATCTCTATATTATGCTTTGATTGGTTAAGATAATTTTAAACTTTTCTTCTTCAGGATCTTCGGCCTTGAGAGATCAAAGTTCGATCTCGAATTTCATTAATCAAGACGACAAGACTATTATCTTTCTTTTTTTTCCTCCTCTTCTCTTCCTCTGTTTTTTTTCTCTT